ATAGCTTTACCGGATATAACCGTTGACCAAGCTATAAATAAGCAGCAGGCTCCATAACCTAACAATTCTCCCACTTGGAGACTGATCTAGTCAACCAAGAATTTCATTGTCAAACGACCATGAGCATCTTCATGGTCTTCATAGCACCATATCAATTGAGGCTTTGCACAACCTCACTATTCCAACATCAACACATTTTGTCAACATGTTTGCTGGATTCTTTGCACCCTCTATCTTCTCCAAACACATCACCATCTTTCACTAACTTGCAAGTGAAATGGTATTGCCTTCTGTGTTTTCTCTTTAAATGATAGATCGGGCTCCTTCGCCAACTGTATGACACTCTGATTATCTCTATAAAGAATATCTTCGTGCTACTTCTTGCCCATTCTTCCAGATAGTCAGTCATCCATATCGTCTTCTTTCCAGCTTCAACTATTGCCACGTACTCAGCCTCAGTACAACGCATTTTTGAAGCCTAGACATCCCATCATCCATGGTTTGCTCCTACTTAGTTGTATCCTCCAACTGTAGGGCCTCATCAAAGGGCTCTGGTTCCCTTTCATCAGCAACAGATAGTGTAATGAAGGATGATCTTCTCAACACCGATTCAGGTGTCACTTGCTTTACTATGGTTCCTCTGCAACAACCTCAGGAGTTTGTTGAGTATCTGCTACAAGATCACTAGGTGATTTTCTCCGCAACTCAACCTCAACTTCCACTTGCTTTGTTGTCTTGGAATCTTGCTCCTCATCTAGTTCCTTAGCAGTAGTCTCAGGAGTTTCATGAGTATCTGCTACAACATCACTGGGTGAATTTTCTTACAACTCAAGCTTAACTCCCACTTGCTTCGTGGTCTTGGAACCTTGCTCCACCTTTCGTTCTTCAGCAATAGTCTCAGGAGTTTCATGAGTATCTGCTACAACATCACTCGGTGAGTTTTCCTGCAACTCAAGCTCAACTCCCATTTGCTTCGTCGAACCTTGCTCCACATATGGTTCCATTTCCAACCGCACTTTCTTCAATTCTCTGGCGGTCTTTGTGAAGTTAACTCGTTTCTACTTGCTCATAACGTAGTTCTCACAATGACCCACATCAACAAATTTCAGACTTTCTAAAACTTCTTTTGCAGCCAGCGTCTTCATTCCTTTCACGCTCATATGTCCAAGTCTATTGTGCCATAGACTTGAATTTGAAGCACTCTTAGCAACAACAGCTATGTTCATACACCCTGCAGTGGTGTATAAGGTTTCAGATTTTGAGCCACGTGCTACCACCATAGCACCCTTCATAATCTTCCACGAACTCTTCCCTAACTTTGTTGCATAACCTGTGCTGTCCAACTGACTAATAGAGATCAGATTCTTCTTGAGACCAGAAATATATCTGACATCCTTTAATGTTCATTGATTTCCTGCCGAAGTTTTTATGCAGACATCTCCTTTTCCTTTGATCTTCAAATCTTTGTTGTTGGCAAGATACACTTTCTCGAAATTTCCAGACTTGAAATTCCAGAACAACTCTTTATTTGGAGACGAATGAAAAGATGCACCTGAATCCAAAATCCAGGATTCAATCGAACTGTCCACGCTAAGGATCAGAGCATCCCCAATGTCTTCTGCTGAATTTATAGAATCATCATCCTCTCCAGATTTATGATTCTGCTTCTTCTTCACTTTTGTACAATCTGTTCGAAAGTGTCATTTTCCCCCACAACTCCAACACGTTACGTTGGGTTTGTTTAGAAATTTTCTCCGGTTCTTTGATTTTGATCGCCCATGTTTGTTTGAGCTTTTTGATTTACTTCTTCCCCTTCGATCAACACTGAGAGCATTGCCTGATGAATCTCCAGTTTCTCGTTTGCGAATACTTTCTTCCCCTTCGATCAACACTGAGAGCATTGCCTGATGAATCTCCAGTTTCTCGTTTGCGAATACTTTCGCTGAGATCGATCAACACTGAGAGCATTGCCTGATGAATCTCCAGTTTCTCGTTTGCGAATACTTTCGCTGAGAACTACATCTCGAATTTCACCAACCTGATGAATCTCCAGTTTCTCGTTTGCGAATACTTTCGCTGAGAACTACATCTCGAATTTCACCAATCTTCAGTTTATCAGATCCTCGAGAACTGCTGATTGCAGCAACAACAGTATCCCATGACTCGGGTAATGATGACATCAAAATCAACGCTTTAATTTCATCTTCGAAATTAATTTCCACCGAACTTAGTTGACTTATGATCATATTGAATTCATTTATATGATCAGCAACAGGTCCACCTTCAGACATTTGTAGATTGAACAATCACCGCATCAAATACACCTTGTTCATAGCCGATAGTTTTTCATACATATTTGACAGCGCCTTCAATAGATCTGACGTTGTCTTCTCCTTGATAATGTTGAACGCCACGTTTCTGGATAGCATCAACTGGATCAGCCCCAAGGCTTTTCGATCCTTGAGCTTCCACTGTTCCATGGTCATGGTATCCGGCTTCACCCCCAACAGAGGTTCGTGAAGATCTTTCTGGTACAGATAATCTTCAATCTGGATCTTTCAGAAACCGAAAACGGATCCATCGAACTTCTCAATTCCAATCTTTGAACTTTCCATCTTCATAGATCGTGGTGAATTTTGCCTAGCTCTGATACCAGTTGTTAGAATCGCACAACAACGCACACGCTCGATCTAGATGTACACAAAGAACAAGATAGAGAAAAGTGCAAGGAGAACTCTGGCTAAAAGGATTTTTTTATTGATGACTTCACGTATGTACAGTAAGAGAGAATTACGGAGAATAGAAAGTACATTTTCAAAGCTCAACCGGATGGGATATATATATAGCTTTACAAGATTTAACCATCTACTATATATAGCCATTTACTATATATAGCTTTACCAGATTTAACCATCTACTATATATAGCTATTTACTATATATAGCTTTACCAGATTTAACCATCTACTATATATAGCTATTTACTATATATAGTTTTACCAGATTTAACCATCTACTATATATAGCTATTTACCATATATAGCTATACCGAATATAGCTTTACCAAATATAGTTTTACCGGATATAACCGTTGACCAAGCTATAAATAAGCAGCAGGCTCCATAACCTAACAAGATTGAAAAACGATATGGTCACAATCGATTGATAAAAGTATATGGTTAGGTTATGGGTAGAAAGAGATAGGATTATGATAGATCGATAGCGTTAGGATACGTTCATGAAACGATATCACTATGATAGGTATAAGAATGTTAAGGCTGTGATAAATTAGGGAACGATATGACCATGAAGTGTTTACGATACGACAACTGAATTACAGATATATTTATAAGAATCATGGTATTCCAAATGTTCCAACTGGACCTATTACACGATACAAGAAGATTCAACAAAGATTCATTCTTCATCTACAAAGTTCCAAATGTTCCAACTGGACCTATTACACAATACAAGAAGATTCAACAAAGATGATTCATTCTTCATCTACAAAATTGGATCGGCTCGGTTCAACCATCATTTGTAGAATTGGACCTATTACACAATACAAGAAGATTCAACAAAGATGATTCATTCTTCATCTACAAAATTGGATCGGCTCGGTTCAACCATCATTTGTAGAATTAGAAGCTTATATTATTTATGAAGGACAATTGAATATTTGCACGGTTGAAGTTTGAAAACTTTAAAATGTCAACAACGAGGTTTGAACCTACACAAGTGAAGCTCAATATATTTCAAGTTTATTTCTTTAACCACTCAAACATATCAACATTTGTTAAAAGGTTTAATTGTTTTGTTGTTTTCATTTTGCATTGGTCAAATGGTCAAAATTGACTTCGTCTTTTGTGGAGATTAAAGGGGATCGAGATTAAATCCCGGCCACAAACGTTTTTTGTCGGGAGACTATAAATACCCACAATATGTTATGTAAAAATCAGATTCGTGGATGAATGTAATTCATATCTCAAATTGAGACGTTTCCCTTAGAAATCCGAACATCATATTTGTCATTTCTAAGTTTCAATTCTTGTGGTAGAATTGCACCCGAGCCATTCAATCAAGCCTTGATCAAGTTAGATTGTGGAGTGATTCAATTTAGAACAAGGTTTCCAAATCTTGCTTCTAGATCTTCAATCGTAAGAGGTAATCTAACTCTAGCCTTATCTCTTGGTTGATCCAAATTTCATATAAGGAGGTGTTAATTACTTTGATTCAAGGGTTCTTGCTTCAACAAAAGCTTGGATCATTGTGCTGAGGATTATAGTTGCCTTATCAATTTGGTATCAGAGCCTAGGTTTACATCTTTTTGTGGCCGACTCTAAAATTGATTTTATCTTTCATTTCTGCTATTGTTTATCTTTTCTTTAAATTTGTCTATTTATTTTCTTGCTGTCATTTCCGCCATTATTCATCAACTTTTCAATTTGTTCTCATTTTCTTATCATATTTGTTCTTACGATTGTGATTATAAACGATATTTATCATTTTTTTAGATCATTTGCATATTTATTTGAAGATCAAATGAATTTCGATTCACATCTTTTTCTTAATCCATCTAAATCTAGAATCGTTGTGTTTGATATTTTTTTTATCTCATAATCTACTCTTGAAGATAACTTTTAAATTTCCTGAATTCTGTAAAATGGAGAGTTAAATCATTCTTAAAATCTTCACGTCCTTTCTTTTTGAATTTTTTTTCAGTGTGCAATTATATTTAAAAATATCTTCATATCCCTTATTTGTTTGTTCACGCCCTTTTTTTATTTTGTTGTTTTTTCATAATTAACTTATCTTGATTGCCTTGAATAGCTTGCTACTATCAGAATTGCTTCACCGATATATTAGCCTACCTTGATCATAATTTAGTCACTTTCCCAAACATCCTACCTTTGTGTGTATAAACACGAGTGTCCCTAAGTGTAAAATCAGTGAGTTGAGTGTGTGAGGTCCTAAACATATTCCACTACTGTTTGTACAATCATGAACCAAGACGAAGGAAATGGAGGGGAGATCAATGAAGCTAGGTGGAGAGAAGCACAAGTCGGAACAATTACTCGTTTGAATCAAGTTATTAGTACATTGACAGACCGGATGGAGCGAATTCAAATAGCCTTAGGTAATCTTCAAGGGAGGGAAGTACTCTTGAATGAAGGAGTTGAAAATGAAGAAGATGACAATGTCACCCTTTTAGCGGGACATAGCCCTAGGGGAGGGAGAGATGTCGGTCGAGGGAGAGGAAGAGTCAGAAGAAGGGGTAGAGAAATTTTAGCACCAAAAAGAATTGAGAGGGGGTACCAGTATGAGAGAGAAAAAGAAAAAGGAGTCGGGGGAGTAAAGCTAAAAATTCCAACTTTCTATGGGAGATCTGATCCAGAGGAGTATTTGCAATATGAGAGCAAAATTGAGCATGTCTTCGATTGCAACAATTTCAGTGAAGAAAGAAAGTTGAAGCTTGCTGTGGCTGAATTTTGTGATTACGCCATAATATGGTGGACATCTTTGAAATCAGAGTGGAGGAGAAATTATGAAGAACCAATTGAAACTTGGGAGGAACGGAAGAAATTAATGAGAAAAAGGTACATTCCTAAGCATTATTCTCGAGTACTCAAGCAAAAACTCTATACTTTACAATAGGGATCCAAAAGTGTTGAAGAATATTACAAAGAAATGGAGACCCTTATGAATAGAGCATGTATTGATGAAGATGAGGAAGATACAATGGCTAGATTTCTTGGTGGGTTAAACCGACAACTTGCTCATCTAGGGATAGGCAAGCGTACTTTGATATGCAAGAATTGTTACACCTTGCTGTCAAAATCGAAGGGCAACTAGCTTGGGAGAAGGAGAACTCCAAGCGGTATGGTATTTCAAAGTCTACTACTTTCAACACTTAGAAAAAGAATGCAAATATTGAAAAGATAGATTTCAAAGTTGGAGGCAAGTATGATCATGACAAAAAGAACAAAGCTGCAACCTCCAAGGGTAAAGAGAAAGCGGAGGAATATAAGGAGATTCGAGAAAGAAATAGAGACATCAAATTTTGGAAATGTCAAGGAATTGGTCATCTTAGTCGTGATTGTCCTAACAAGAGAGTCTTGATCATCAAGAATGGACAAGTTGTCACAGATAGTGAGGAAAGTGACCATGATGAGCTAGTTGAAGAGAAAATCCAGGAGAATGAGGAGGAACTAGAAGATGGGAGTCAGTTGGTACTTGTTACCAGAAGATTTCTTAAAACTCAAGTTATAGAGAATGATGTTGATGATCAAAGAGACAACCTATTTCACACAAGGTGTTTAGTCAAGGGGACTTCTTGTAGTCTTGTAATTGATAGTGGAAGTTGCACCAATGTTGTAAGTACAATGCTGATCAAAAGGTTACTAATTCCAACCCAACACCATCCTAAACCTTACAAGCTTCAATGGCTCAATGACAGTGGAACAATGAAGGTAACTTCTCAAGCTTTAATATCTTTTACTTTAGGAAAATATAAAGATGAAGTTCTTTGTGATGTTTTACCAATGCATGCTGGAGACATATTGCTTGGCCGACCATGGCAATTTGACAAGAGGGTTATGTATGATGGCTATTTGAATCGACATTCTTTTGTAAAAGATGGTAGAAAAACCACTCTTGTACCTTTAAGTTCTGCAAATATATTCGCTGATCAATGAAAGTTGGAAGAAAAAAAGAAAGAGTTTGAGGAAAAAGAGTTGAAAGAAAAACAAGAGTTGAGGGAAAAAATAGAGAAAAATCAAAGAGAAAAACATAGTAAAAAAAAAGGAAAGAATGTGAGTTGTTTGGCTAGAGTTGGAGAGGTTAGAAGAGTAATGTTCTCACAAAAAACCATCTTTGTACTTGTGTACAAGGAAGGATGTTTGGTCTCTAACGATAACAATTTATCTTTGCCTAGTATGTTTCAATCTCTTTTACAGGAATTTGATGATGTATTCCAAGATGAAGTCCCTAAAGGACTACCTCCCATTAGAGGTATTGAACATAAAATAAACTTCATTCTAGGGGCAGTAATTCGTAATAGGCTAGCTTATAGAGCCAACCCAACTGAGACTAAAGAAATTCAAAGGAAAGTAGAGGAGCTTATGGAGAAGGGCTATATACGAGAGAGTTTGAGTCCATGTTCTGTACCAATCTTATTGGTGCTGACGAAACATGGAACGTGGCGCATGTGCGTGGATTGTAGAGCCATCAACAAAATCATGGTAAAGTATCGACATCCTATTCTTAGGCTAGACGATATGCTTGATGAATTGCATGGTTCATGTTTATTTACAACGATTGACTTGAAATCTGGATATCATAAAATTAGAATGCATGTAGGAGACGAATGGAAAACCGCGTTCAAAACTAATTTTGGATTGTATGAATGGCTTGTTATGCCTTTTGGGTTAACTAATGTTACTAGTACATTTATGCGCCTAATGAATCACGTTTTGAGAGAATATTTAGGAAAGCATGTTGTTGTGTATTTTGATGATATTTTAATTTATTCAAAGACTTTGCATGAGCATGTGGAGCATGTTAAGTTAGTTTTTATTACACTTAGAAAAGAAAAACTTTATGGTAATTTTAACAAGTGTAGTTTTTGCATGAATAAAGTTAACTTTCTTGGCTTCATAGTTGGTCAAAATGGAGTAGAAGTAGATGAAGAGAAAGTTAAAGCAATTAGGGATTGGCCAACACTACAAAATGCAAGTGAAGTTTGTAGTTTTTATGGGTTAGCTAGCTTCTATAGAAGATTTATAAAAGATTTTAGCACCATAGCTGCACCATTGAATGACTTAGTGAAAAAGAATGTTGTTTTTAAATGGGGAGATATGCAAGAGAATGCATTCAATGGGCTTAAAACTAAATTAACCAATGCACCATTACTTGTCTTGCCTAACTTTGATAAAACTTTTGAAATTGAGTGTGGTGCAAGTGGTTTGGGCATATGTGTTGTTTTGATGCAAGATGGAAAACCCGTAATGTATTTTAGTGAAAAACTAAATGGGGCAGCATTGAACTATCCTACCTATGATAAAGAATTTTTTGCTTTAGATTGCACATTGCAGGTGTGGCAACACTACTTATGGCCTAGAGAATTTGTGATCCACTCTGATCATGAAAGCTTGAAGTATCTTAAGGGTCAAAGCAAACTGAACTGTAGGCATGCAAAGTGGGTGGAGTTTATTGAAACATTTCCGTATGTCATCAAATATAAGCAAGGTAAGGATAATGTGGTAGCTGATGCATTATCTAGAAGGTACAAACTCTTTACTTCTCTCAGTGCAAAAATTCTTGGATTTGAGCATATTAAAGAATTATATCGAGATGACCAAGACTTTGGAATTATTTATGCATCTTGTCTTACAAAAACAGCTGTGGATGGTTATTATGTGTTTGATGAATTCTTATTTAAGAAAAGTAAGCTTTGTGTTCCTAAATGCACTATCAGAGATTTGCTAGTAAAAGAAGCACATGGTGGTGGCTTAATGGGATATTTTGGGATTAATAAAACTTAAATATGTTGCATGAACACTTCTTTTGGCCGAAAATGAAGCATGATGTTCATAAGTTTTGTAGTCAATGCTTTAAATGCAAAGAAGCTAAATCTAGATCACAACCAAATGGATTGTACACTCATTTGAATGTACCTAATGAACCTTGGACTAATATATCTACGGATTTTGTTCTTGGTTTATCACACACTAAAAAGGGTAAAGATAGTATTTTTCTTGTGGTAGACAGATTTAGTAAGGTCGTGGGATGCACCATCTTTGCTGCTGCGTAAGGATTTTGAGCACGCGGATCGAACTCCAGTTCTTTGGTACTGTTTGAGTTACAGAGGGTAGACTCGGTCGTGTGCGGTTTAGCGAGTAAAGTGGTGTCTCACAACACGTCCTCGTTAACTGGTTGACCCGTCATTCCTGCCACGTTGTGATACATTTCAACGTTTTGCTAATACGCTTCTCTCTCGTCACCAGCAGCTGTGTATCCACGGTCGATTCTTCCAACGTTCAATTTTTCTAGATTTCGCTGAGCGACGCATTTCAATCTATTTTTTTGGATTGCTTTTTATCTTCCAATCGTTAACTAGAAATGACTTGGTTTCTTCACGGAAAATAAAGATCTCGAATCAACCAATTCGATGCCAGTTTTTTTAATTTTTAGGAAGATAGAGACCATAATAATTGAGTTCAAATTTTGGAAAAATATTTTTTCTTATCGAAATTATAAATCTCTTGAATCTAATTCTGAAACAAATCATGGTCGAGTTTCAACACAAAACTTGTAAGAATCCTTTCCTGGAACATCATAGTCAAATCGAACGATCGTACAACCAAAACTGACACTCATCGATCCTCTTATTAGGACTAGAGATAAATCTTATGCCAAATTTTTCATTAAAGTGTCCGATTGGCGTCCTCTTTACTTTCTTGTTTTTCCTCCTTCCACAAAAACTGAAATTCTCCCTTCCTCTCTCTTCTTTGTTTTCTATACACGCCATCCCGGACCCTTCAAATTATAAGGTAGAAAATATTGATGTTTATCCATGTAAGCATGATACATACATGAAATATGTTATGGAGGGAAGGAGAAAGGAAATGAAATAAATGTTATCTTATGAATAAAAATAATGGGACCTCGTGCATGTATGTATGTCATGTGTATCGGGATACTTTCCCTTTCTGTTATGCTAGTACGGATGCATACCTTCGATATTTATGTTCGACATGATATCATGAAGACCTTTTCTTTTATGAGGGTCCAGTGACATGTATTGTGTTGTGCCTGACAAAGTCCGGCCTAAGGGGCACGTATACCAATCCGTCTGATGGGTCCATGTATGCGTATGTGGGCTGTGTGTAGAAAAGTACCATGCATCCAACTTTGCCAAGAATTGAAAAAAGACACTAGTGGTAGTTCGAAACCGATTCATGAGGAAAAAGGAATTTGAACTACAAAAGGTTAGTACTTAAAGACCTTTAGGTTTAATACTTATGAACATGCTAGTTATTTACTATAATTGATGTTCTAAGAGTGCCTAAGATCCAAATTGCTTCCGCATGTGTTGTATTAACTTCATCAATTGGTATCAGAGCAAGTTTTAGGCACTTTATTTAGTATAGGAACAAGAGTTATTCTGGGATTAGTGTTTAAGTCAAGAATGTCTTGGTTTAGTGAAGTTGTGATTAACTGCCCCTCGGTAGCAGTTGCTCTAACTCACTAAAGTATCGTTGCAAATTAATAATTTTTGGGTACATTATTACATTTTCTAAACCTGATTTGATTAAATGGGATTAAATCAAATCACTAATAGATTTTCTTTATATCACAGCGTGACAAACTCAACAGTACAATTACTCGCTTCTGAGAAATTAAACAGCGATAATTACGCAACTTGGAAATCAAACCTAAACACAATACTTGTAATTGATGATTTAAGGTTTGTTTTAACTGAGGAATGTCCTCCAAACCCCAACTCAAATGCAAACAGAATAGTTCGGGATGCATATAACAGATGGACAAAGGCAAATGACAAAGCCCGAGTGTACATTTTAGCCATCCTATCTGATGTTTTGGCTAAGAAACACGATGTAATGGGTACTGCTAAAGAGATTAGGGAATCTCGGAAATGGATGTTTGGACAACCGTTCTTCTCCCTTAGACATGACGCAATAAAATACATTTACAACTGTCGTATGAAAGAAGGGACCTCAGTTAGAGAACATGTCTTGGACATCATAGTCAATGTGGCAGAAGAAAATGGAGATGTCATTGATGAGAAGAGTCAAGTCAGTTTTATCATGGAGTCTCTTTCGAAGAGCTTCTTCCAGTTTCGCACAAATGTGATGATGAACAAGATAGAATATAACTTGACTGCTCTTCTCAATGAGTTGCAGACTTATCAGTCCCTCTTAACGAACAAGGGACAAAGAGGAGAAGCAAATGTTGCTATCTCTAAGAAATTACTACGAGGATCGTCCTCTAAAAATAAGTCCGGACCTTCAACTTCTAAAAGTGTTTTGATAAAGAAGAAGGGTAAGGGAAAAAGAAGATTCCTACTGACCACAAACACAAGGTTCAAAAAGCAGATAAAGGAAAATGTTTCCATTGCCACAAAAATGGGCACGGAAAGAGAAATTATCCAAAATACCTTTCAGAGAAAAAAGCCGAAAAAACACAACAAGGTAAATATGATTTACTCCTTGTAGAAATATGTTTAGTAGAGTATGATAACTCAACTTGGATACTAGATTCAGGGGCCACTAATCATATTTGTTCTTGTTTCTAGGAAACTAACTCTTAGAGAATGCTTGCGGACGGCGAGATAACACTCAGGGTTGGAACAGGAGAGGTTGTCTTAGCAAGATCAATAGGAAATTTAAAATTACTTTTTCGAGATAGATTCATTATCTCATATAATGTACTTTTTGTTCCTAGAATGAAGAGAAATCTAATATCTCTCTCTTGTTTATTAAAACAATTGTCTAAAGTATCTTTTGAAATCAATGAAGTGTTCATTTGCAAAGAGGTATTCATATTTGTTCTGCAAAACTAGAAAACAACTTATATATGTTAAAACCGAGCGAAACAAAAGCTATTTTAAATACCGAGATGGTTAAAACAGCTGAAACTCAAAATAAACGACAAAAGATTTCTCCTAATACCTATCTTTGACACTTAAAACTAGGCCACATTAATCTCAATAGGATTGAGAGATTGGTTAAAAGAGGACTTCTAAATGAGTTAGAAGACAACTCTTTACCTCCATGTGAGTCTTGTCTTGAGGGTAAAATGACTAAACGATCGTTTTTCGAAAAAGGTTATAGAGCCAAAAAAACCTTAGAACTCGTGCATACAGATCTCTATGGTCCAATGAATATCAAAGCATGAAGAGGGTATGAATATTTCATCAGTTTTATTGATGATTATTCAAGGTATGGTCATCTTTACCTAATGCATCACAAGTCCGAAGCTCTTGAAAAGTTCAGAGAGTATACGACTGAGGTTGAGAATCTGTCAGGTAAAACTGTTAAAACACTTCTATCAGAACGAGGTGGAGAGTATATGGACTTAAGATGTCAGGACTATATGACAGTACATGGAATAACGTCTCAACTCTCAGCCCCTGGTATGCCTCAACAGAATGGTGTATCAGAATGGAGAAATAGAACTCTGTTAGACATGGTTCGATGTATGATGAGTTTCGCTCAATTACCTGATCCATTTTGGGGATATGTAGTGGAGACTACTACATACATTTTGAACATGGTTCCTTCTAAGAGTGTTTTAGAAACACCTTATGAGTTATGGAAAGGGCGTAAAGGTAGTTTACATCACTTTAGAACTTGAAGATGCCCAGCACATGTGTTATTGCAAAATCTCAAGAAATTCGAATGTCGTTCAAAATTATGTATATTCGTAGGATACCCCAAAGAGACGAAAGGTGGTTTGTTTTATGACACTCGAGAAAATAGAGTGTTTGTATCAACAAACACTACATTGTTAGAGGAATACAACGTAAGAAATCATCAACCTCGCAGCAAACTAGTATGAAGTGAGATTTCTAAAGAAGCTACTGATAAAACAACAAGAGTTGTTGATCAGGCTTGTCCTTCAATAAGGGTTGTTGATGGAGTTGGCACTTCTGA